TTAAGTGGGAGAACTTGCACAATTGGTGGCTGACTAAATACTTCTTTGCCCCACTGTATACTTGTGATTTTCAGCCCCATTTTTTTTTCCTTTTCTCAGACGTTTTCACCCTTCTTACACTGCAAAATTACACTTAACCCTCGAGCTGGCGCACTGGCTCACAGAATGCACCATTCCTGCTTTTTGTTGTTATGTTTTTTGGAAGTCTTTTCAATTTTGGTGCCCCCTAAAATTTGGCCCTCCTAGGCCAGGGCCTACTCAGCCTTAGCCCAGCGCTGACCCTGGCCTCACCCAGTTGTGATCACAATGAAAAGCAGATGTGAGCGTCAGCTGTCTATTGATGGTGCCTCAGAATGACTCCTGTGCACTAAGCCTTAGCCCTCTGAGTCTCAGCCCTCTTGTCTGAATCCAGAATCTTCTGATGTTTCTGCCCGGAAGCTCGGTCCCAATTTAACTTTTCATCTCGTTCATATTCATTCCCTTATTCACTGCAGAATAATCTATTGTGACAGAAACAAAATCTAAAGATGAGAAGGTTCTTTGGAAATTCCCGCACTGGGAGAGCGTTGGACTGGACAGTCCAAGGTTCTAACCCTCCCATTCCTGTGGTCAGGAACATCTTCCTAGGAGTAGGAGCTGTTTGACAATAGAACAGCTGCCTCAGGAGGTGGTTGAGCTCTTCTTCTCTGGAGGCATTTAAACAAAGGCTAAGTGGCTATCTGTGCTGGCAGATTCCTACATTGGGCAGGGCATTGGACTAAACATTCTCCAAGGACACTTATGCCTTAAAATAAATATGGGTTAGTCTTAAAAGGTGCTACTAGACCCTTTCTCATTCTGCCCCAGTGGGATTTTCTGACTGGCAGTCATACGTCTGCTGAATTCTTCTGAGAAGTCTGAGACCCTGGAGGCTTTCTCCACCTCTGGGGAGGCTTCCAAGAAAACGTCCATTGGGTTCCAGGTAACTCAGAAAACAGTTACCCCAGAGCAGGGCAATTGAAGCAAAGTGACAACATGGCACACTGGGGAGTAATTTTAATGGAATTATAATAGGAAGGGGTACAGCCATACTCGCAGAGCAACACTTACTTCTGCTTTTTATTTATTTAATTTTAACTAGAAAATTGCCTAGTGATTTTTGATGATTTGCTGAATTTTGGAAGCACAGTCGGGCTGAAAGAGCTAGAATGACACAGTGGTTCAGGGCTGGGGATGTGGTCACCTCTTCTGCCATATACAGGTAGTCCCCAGTTAACAAGCTCCATTCCCAAGGTCTGTCCTTAAGTCGAATTTGTATGTAAGCTGGAACAGCATTATTGTATAATACTGTCTAAGTAGTATTGTGTAATGAACATGAACCATTGTGTATTTAACTCAGAATTTGCTGTAATAGGCTCCATTCTTAACTATGGGTTGTCCTTAACCCGAGCATGCTTAACATGGAGACTACTGTAACGTAACCCTGTTTCTTGCAAGTTTCCATCATGATCTTGATTATTTAACTAGAAATATCTAATACATGGTTCAAATCAGAACCACAGAAATCTGAATAAGCAGTTTATGACTGACTGTAAAGCTGACCTTTTTTTAAAAAAAAAATGGTTCTAGTTTCTTAGCGCTGATGTAGAGAGTAAGGAAGTTGACCTTGATGGAGAGAGGAAAGATCCTTTACCAAGGTAAGGAGATAAACATTGCAGAAGCCCAGATGAGGGAGGAGGGTTATGAAAACGTCTCAGACACGCACCGCCTTAATTCACATGGTATATAAAAGAGGGAGGAGGTTTGCAAGATTCTGTTACTGTAGCCAACCTTAAGAAAAGTAGCTTTAGGCCTATGTGGTGTCTGTTTCTTGGTCTGGTCTACCTTGTAGGGCTGACAACCATGAACCTGGATGACGACACAAAATGGCTCACGTGGGTAGCCAAGCAGTGGGAGAATATTGCTGGCCACAATAAAGAAATCAACTTGGAACAATTCAAAACTGCGCTCAAGGTGAAAGAGGCAAGTTATGTCCAATTGAGCTGAGTGGATAACAAAACTATGCTATAACTCGGAATGTCCATTGTTGCCAGCAAAAAGTACAGAGATGTTTTATTTTCTCCCTTCCTTGTTAGATTTGGGGAATTGATCCATGCTTGTGATGTGCTAATTAAAATCTAGAAACCTGACGAAGAAGAAGCAGAGGGACAGAGAAAAAAGAGCAGAGATTTTTATTTATTTATTTATTTATTTATTTAGTTCCATTTATATAACCGCCCATCTCACTTACCTGACTCTGGATGGCTCACAAGTTCAAACAACTATGACAAACTCATACAAATAATTTAAAACAATTAACCAAAAACATAAAAGTGAGGAAAGTGCCAACCTACAACTCATGGACAATGCAACCATCTTGCAGGCTCTCCATCAATTTACCATTGATTGCACCAGAAGGCCAAGAAGTAACAGAGCAGGGAACAAATTATCACTCCGATGGAAAGCCAAGGGGAGGTGTTGGTACTGGGACCAGACTGGATAAGCCCAGGAAGTTACCCTGTTGCTGGATGGAAGTAGTTTAAAGCAGGGTTCCTCAACCTTGGCTTGAAGTCCACCCATCTTAAAGTTGCCAAGGTTGAGGAACTCTGCTTGAAAGCATGAGGCTTTTTAAAAAATCTTATTTGGACGACTACCGAAGCATTTTCTGTGAGTCTCTAGTTTAATATATAGATGCCATGAGTGATGCAACTTTCTTTCCCATTTGTTTGCACTCTCAGACTACAGAGCTGTAGTTAATTTGTCTGGGACTAATACAGGTAGTCCCCAGTTTAAGAACAAGTTCTGTTCTCAAGGTCTCTCCTTAAGTCAAATTTGATGTAAGCCGGAACAGTATTATTGTGTAATACTGTAAAAGTAGTATTGTGTAATGAACTCGAGCCATTGTGTATTCAAATTTTGCTATATAGGCTCCATTCTTAATTACGGGTCATCTGTAACCCAGGCGTTCTTAACCTGGGAACTATCTGTACTAGAAGCCTCAAGACTTCTCCCCAAGGTGGGTTTATAATGTTGTATTTACCATGGTCAGTAGTGAACATAACCACTGTAGTTTATATATTTCAGGGATTTGATCACTTATTTTAAAATCAAAACCTAAAGACAATGGAGACTGCTGGATCTTGAGGATCACCTCTGATTTCACAAATATTTTTTACCTCTCTCACAGTCCTTTTTCGCTGAGCGGTTCTTTGCTTTGTTTGATTCGGACGGAAGTGGCACCATCTGCCTGGATGAGCTCCTGAACACCATGAAACTGCTGATACATGGGAGCGAAACAGACAAGCTTCGATTCCTCTTCCAGGTCTATGATGTGGATGGTAAAATTCCGAACTGGTGCATCTGATAACCTATATTTTATCAAAATGAGATTTTGTTTTCCAGATCCTTGTTTTGCTGCCAACAATTGTGCCTCATAGAATAGCCTCCAGCGCTCCTAATTTTGCATCTGGAATGGTAGGACAGTTGTGTATTTTTCTAGTCCCATTTCTAGATCTAGTGCCTTTGATGATGAACAAGACATGTAGAAGTTCAAGAAATACTACTTTTAAATTAAAGAAATGCCCCAATTCTGCAATTTCTATATGATTCCATTCAGTCAGGGAATAACTGCAGCAATTGTGGGTTTTCTAACTCACAGAGGAAGGACTTAGGTTGTATAGATGCAGACTTCTCATGATCCACCAAGTAAGCAGAGTCAACTGACTTTGATTTCCTGGTGGCCACTTCCTGTCCATTGACGATCGCCGCCTCCTCCTCCTCCTCCTCCTCCTCCTCCTCCTCCT